CATTCCAGCTAGCAGAGTCTAGATCTGAACGAGATTTGGCTCCCTGTGAGCCTGTGTCCCTGGATAAGGGATAAAGGACAGTCCCTGGGGACACACAACCTTGAGTAGGAAGCAACTTCCTGTGGAACAATCTAGCATGTGGCCTGGAAATTGGAGTACTAAGTAAATCAGAAAGAAAGGGAATCATCCAGGAAATAGCGGCAGAGGACTGTCTTCAGATATGACCTAAAGGTGGTCCTCAAAGGACATCTGGGCGGGCCTTAGTGACCCTGGTGACAGACAGGAGCTGGAAGAGGTCTGGTCAGAAGGCATTGGGACTTCAAGATACATCCAGGGCAGGAGGGACAGAGACAATGGAGTGAGGGAGCTGACTCATCCACACGCTGATCTGAACTCTGTCCGAGGGTCTGGAAAGATCGCACTGGATCCACAGACAGAACTTGGCAGAAGGTCTCTCTGGGAGCGTGCAGAGAAGGGAGGTGGGGGCAGAGGAGGGTCCGAGACTTGAGGAAAATCAATGGTATTGAGAAAATCAGAGATCAAGCTCAGAAGTGGCCCAGAGAGACCCTATGGGAGGAGCAGGTGCCCAGCTGCAGGGCTAGGATAGGAGGATGGTGAGGGCGCATGGCTGGGAGCATCCATTCCCGGGCACGGCTAGCACAGCATGACCTTGGACATGGAGGAGGACTGAGCCCTCAGGCACCGTGCCTCGGCCACTGCAGCTGCCCAGCTCTGAGGAAACAGGGACTGACGAGCATCCTCAGGATGGATGTGAGAAGGCACTGGAAGCCAGCTCAAAATGCATCCACTGTCAACGGGATGGGAAATTAGAAAAGAAATATAAATATCCTCAAACCAAAAAACAAACTAGGAGTCTGAGAATCAAAGTTGAGGCTTTTTCCTTTGGAAAGATGCTCCAGCACTCGGCTTTGTTTCATGACCAGGCACCCAGGAGGGTGGCTACAGGAGGACACTGTTTCCAGTGGTGGCCCCACCCAGCACAGCTACAAAGCACAGCAGGTATCTGAAGCTTGAGTAGAACTGTAACACATAGAATTGAGAGGGTGGAACGGATTCCAGGTCTGGAAAGAAAATGAACAGAGGCGAAAAGTTTGGAAAACCACAACAGGTGTTTGGGTAACAGGGAGCCAAACAGCTCTTCAGGGCCGGGCTGTACCTCTGGAGGACCAGAGAGAGGTGCAGAGAGGGCACGTGGCCAGGGCAGGGTGGCTCTGAAGACATCCTTCTCAGCCATCACATCCTTGCCTGAGGCTGGGCAAGATGCTTTCACCTGTACCGTTGTGAGACTGAATCATAAGCAAGGTGAGCCAAATGGGAATCTTTCCCTGCTCTCCGTCGACAAGGAGACAGCACCTCCCCAATTAAGCATGGCATCTGCTGAATCATGAGGTCTGAGCTTCCCTCCAAGCGAAAGTGCAGATGCTGCTCCAGCAATCCCCAAGCGGCAGGAACTTGGGAGAGGGAGTGGGGAGGCTGCATCGGGTGCTTCCTGAGACTATTTCTGGACAGGATGCAAAACATCAGCATGCCAACATCTGTTGTTGCTTGCAACCTCTAGGCAAGCGTGTTTTGGAGATGCTTAGAAAGAAAGAAATCTTCCAAGTTGCTTTAAAGGAAAATTATTGACTTCTCTCTGTTGTCTGACACAGAAACATTATTTTCTCCATTTTTCTCTTTTCTGGTGTTTATGATTTGTTGTTTTGTTCCGTGACTACTATTTTAATTTTAGGAGCTGCTTTTAAATTTGCACACGTGAAGAAATAGAATTAAAGAGGTCTTCTCCTCTGCATTTCTAACACTCAGCTGCTCTCTTGCCTTACCTGTCCAAATGCATTGACCTTAATCCTCCAGACAGTTCCCTCTGTTTCCTAACCATTTTCTCTCAAAATTCTGAGGACACTACCCCATTGCCTTCTGGGTCTTGATTCTGTGGAGAAGTCTGAAGCCAACCTGATTTTTGGTTCTTTGGGGGTTACCCGATTTGTTTTTGTTGTTGTTGTTGCTTTTACTTTTTTTCTGTTTGTTATGGGTCTCTTCTTCATGCCTCAAAGATGGAAGTGTCACTTGCCAGGTCTAGATGTTGGGCTCTTTTTATTAATTCTGCTTGTTTTTAATGAATCTTTTCAATTTGAATTTCCAATTCTTTCTTTAGCTCAAGAAAGTTTCTATTTGTTTAAGGCTTCTTTTCCATTTGTTCTAGACTTTCTAACATGGACATGGGTCTCCTCGAACTGCCATCTGTGTCTGTTTTTTTCTTCTCGTCAATTTCACTCCCTCATCTTTTTCACATCCTTGACTTTCACTTTTAGGTACAAGGAGAATTTCTCACGCATGTCTACTTAACCGATCTGATTTTCTGCGGCATTGAATTTGTTACTTGCTGCTTCCATGTAGGATTTTAAATTCTGCTTTTTGTTTTTCATCTCCTCACATTTTTGCCAGATCTCTCTGGTCTTTCTCCATGACTGCCTGCTCACCTCGCACAGGTGCAGTATCTTCCAGAATGGTTTAAGGAATAACGGTAGAAAACTTGTAACCTTTTCTCCTCTCTCTTACAGAGCTCTATTTCATTGGACAGCATTTGCTCTGGGTTCTTTTGAAGCAGTGTGAGGCATTGGTAGTGATTCTTCTCTACAATGTTGCTTTATAAAGCTAGTAAATTTTTTCTGTCTTTGTTAATTCTCTTGAACAGTAGTCCGTGATTGTTTATTACTGGGAATCGGCATGGACTCTGACACATACTGTTGGAATCCCTTCCAGATTCTTTGCACTCAATAAAATTGAAAACCACTTACAGAGATTTAGTTAGCCAGATCAAGTATGTGGCATCGTGTAGAAACTAAGGAGGGAGCCTGGACCAGTGGCTGCAGCAACACGGAGCATCACTCCAGTACCAGGCAGCTTCTTCCTCTGTCCCTTTTGATACCCAGCAATTAATATTAGAGCATAAATCCTGAGACTTTTGCTCCCAAAATATTCAAAATATCTTGACTTATGAAAGCAAATTAAAGAATAGTATGATAGTCCACCACAACCACAGATTAAAAAAGAAACATCACGTGATCATGTTAACACATGCAGAAAAGACATTTGACAAAATCCAACACACATTCATGATAAAAAAAAAACCCTCAGTAAACAAGGAATAGAGGGGAACTTTCTCAACTTGATAAAGACTATCTATAAAAACCTACAGCTAACATCATAATTAATAGAGAGAAATTAGAATCTTTCTAAGTAAGATCAAGTACAAGGCAAATATGTCCCCCCTCACCACTCCGTTCAACACTGTACTAGAAGTCCTAGCTAATGCAATAAGGCAAGAAAGGGAAATAAAAGGGATACAGATTGAGAAGGAAGACATAAAACTGTCTTTGTTTGTAGATACAGGGGAAGAAGAGAATTCCTCTACCCTCTCTAGGTCATTCCGGCTGGGCTATGAAGAAATTCACATGAGACAGAATAACAGGAGAAAAACAAACAAAGCTTTATAACATATATACATGGAGCAGACCCAGGAAACTGGGTAACTCAAGATAATGGCCAAGCTTCCAGCTTAAATATTATCTTCAGCTAAGGGCAAAGGAGGATGTTGGGGTAGTGGTTTGGGATTTCAGAGGGGAGGAAGACAATTGACATGGAGATGGAAATGCAAATATTTGTTAAACAAGTTTTGCTGGGCCCAAAATGGGCTTGTTGGTGCCATTCTGTCATGTCACATCTATTTTACATCATACTATAGCTATCTTATGGTATTGGTTCCTTCCTGGAACAGGCCTTCTATGTTAAATTCTTTTAGGCAGTTTGGGGGAAGGTCAAATGTTCTTCCTGAGTCTTCTGAGTCTTTATTGTCTTCAGCTCAAAATAATCTGCATACCAGAGTGGTGCATCCTGGGGCAGCCTGCTCTGAACCCCATCATAGAAGACATGAAAACCTATGTAAAAAATCTCAAAGAATCAACCAAAAAACTCCTGGAACTAATAAGTGATTATAGCAAGGCTGCAAGACACAAGTTTAAGTAATACTGTAGTATCCAACACCATATTATCATACTATAAAGGGATAATATGGTGCACACTATTTTGTGACTTGCTCTTTTCACTTAATGGCATACCTTAGACATCTTGCCATTTCAGCACATGTAAGTCATCTTCATTCTTTTTCACGTGTGTATAGCATTCTATTAGATATCAAATTCACTTACCCAGCCCCATCCTGAGGGTATTTAGGTTGCTTCAGGATTCATTGGTCGGTTGGTTAATTTTTGCTTGCAATATGATTTCATGAATCACCTTATTATTTCCCTATTCCCTTGAATCTTCTCAAAACACAAATTAGGGCTTTTACAAAATCTCCAAATGCTCACTTTTGCAAATGAATTTTTTAGAATAACACTGTTAACAATAGTCACCTCTGAAAAGTAAGATCAGAGAGAAAGGTCATGTGGCAAGAATGTGATAATATATTTCACCATGTATCTTTTTCCGCTATCAAAGTTTTTACAGCTAAATGTAATGAATTTTAATTAAAACGTAAATAAGCAATGCTGCAACAATAGTCGCACAAACTGTTTTTCTTCTTTAGGGCTATGTCTCCGGGAAAGGATCTAGAAGTTAGATTACTGAGTGAAATGGTATGCACCCCAAAGTGTTGTACCAACTCTCACGGCCTAAAGAAATTTGAGAGGTGCAGGATTCTGCATGTGGTTCCCACCATCAGGAAAAAAAAAAAAAAAAATGGAAGCAGCCGTATATAACTGAGTTTGGTCTCAAAGTGAAGGTTTCACCGATGCTAGTGTGGAGGATCTGGTCTTAAAATCCATTAGAAAATAGTCAATTGGTGGAAATGCCGGAACAGGTCCTGCATGACGCCTAGTTGTAGTTCTGGATCAAAAGGACAAGGTGAACGCTCTGAGGTGAGCTTACAGAAGCTCAGAGAGGTTACTGGTGCGTTAAAGCGTGGCAGAAAGGTGACATACCTGAGAAGTCCAGCTCAGGCGTCGTTCAAACAGCGCTCCTATTTCTTGGAGATTCTCTCTGTTCCACCCTTTCCTGTTTCTGGCTTTGCCCCCCAGCGGGCTTCTCAAGGTCACAAGACGGCTTCAACCGCAGTCAGAGATGCAGCTTCTCCGCTCACATCCAGAGGGAGAAAAACAAATTGCTGAGCTTTGCGCTGATTGGGCCACCCTGGAACCAATCACTGTGGCCAGATGACTGATATGCAGATCAGCTTTGACCAGCAGTTACCGGAACCAATCTCACTGGCAGGAGGAGGAGCAGGTAACTGTAATTGGCTGAGGCCATTCGAGACACGCCCCTAGAGCCCTGGAGGAGCCAATCCCAACCAAGCCTCGGCGACTGCCTTAGCAAAGCAAGTCACCAGGCATGGAGGCGAGAAACCCACTCTGGGTACCACGTCAGAATCTTCCGTGGATGGGAAGGAGAAAAAGACCACCGTGTGCTGAGAGCCTACGTTGTGTACTAGGCACTGAGCAAGAGGCTTTTATTATTTAGTCTAATCTTCAAAACAATCCTTTGAGATAGGCATCGCTGTCCTATTTCAGAGATAAGGAAACTTCAGCTCAGGGAGTTTGAGTGTTTTGCCTAAGGTCACACAGCTAATATGCATCAAAGCTTATCTCACTTAGATATCATATGTGCTTGGTACAACTTGCTAGTGATTCTGAAATCCGTCCAAGTTCAACATGATAAATATATTTTACATCCTATTCCTTTGAGGTCTTTCTTTTTTGGCTATTGTTCAAAAGTCATGTGGAGTATTTGGAATATATACATATATGGTTAAGACTAAAGTCAGAAGGAAAAGCAAAGACCTGTTTTGTGTGTTTCAGTTAAGCATCTTCTGGCAGTTGAAGTATTTGGTTTGTGTTATGAGATGCTGGCCTAGAACCAGATCACAGGACTGAATCATGTCCGATGTAACGTGCGTCTTACAGAGCGGTTAGGTGGTCCTGCACTTTACCGTATGAAATCAGATCTCTGCTCCTGTCCCGAGGGAGCAGCTATGACCTCATGAACTAGGGGCTTGGATGCAGTTCGAAGAGCTGAGAACAAGTTATGAAAACCCAGGCAAAGCAAACCTTGGGATTCCAGAGAAGTCCCCCAATATCTCCCGGCCTTGCTAAGACCAGCTCTCTGTGGAACCTGGTGAAGAAAACCTGTGCGTCCAGGTTTGCACTTTCCCCGTGAAAGAAAAGGGATTGTCAAGCTATGTAGCCTCTGGGATGGTGGGTCTTCCAGAACATCCGTTCCCAGGAGGGACGACATGGAAGAGGAAATCCCACACTCCCTGCGAACTTTGGGCTTCCTGCTCTCTAACTGGCGTTTGAGATTGGACCAATAGTCCCGGATTGCCATTCTGGTTGGAGGGAGGGAGTGCGTGTGTTGGTGGAGGTGGGTGCCTGGGTCTGCACACAGACACACGCCCCCTAATGTGGATGGTCGTGACCGGGCAGTAGGGGAGCATTCCTGTGCAGCCAGAGAGGGCAAGTTTATGGGTCCTCAATTCTCTGTGCTCAGGAGTCGTAACTCGAGTTAGAACCTGCTGCCTGTGAAAGAGGAGTTATTTCACAGATCTGCGCATCTGAATAACAAATAAACAAAGACAAAGACGAAACGAAACAAAGGCTCGAAGTCCTAATATTTCACTAAGACCCTTCTTCTTCAGAAAGACTATGTGGAAATTATGTCGTTGGGATAATTAATTGTGCTGAGCTTCACCTGAAATGTTTAAATATCCTCAAACCATTTCATTGTTTTGCCTTTACTCAGAATAAGCGGTTATTTTCGAATTAAGGTGAAGCCTAGTGCGGGAAAGGCGTAGTTTAGGCCGATTTTAACAGTTTCTCTAGGAAGCAGTTAAAAAATGACCTCGAGTTTTAATGGGCTGGGGAACATCACGCCACACACTTGGCATGATGTTGTGTAAAACACCGACCCCATGGGTGAAGAGAGATTGCCAAAATATTATTGCCTTAAAAAATTGCCCTCCCTCTTAAAGGCAGCGATATTTGTATCACGTGACCCTGGGCCAACAAGCTGATTGGAGCAGAGGGGACACGCCCCCCCATACTGTCGGGAATCCCTTGATGGGGGGCGGGAGAGGGGGGCGGGATACACAATTTTCACGCAAATTGAAAACGTGGGTTCTCTTGCTCAAAGAGCGGGAGGAAAATGCCATTAAATGTAATAAAATATAAAGCGTTTTCCTTTCTTCCACAGTCTCTCTTTCACGTTATCATAGTGTTTTTTAATTGCTATTTAATGTCGTTTAAGTAAAGAAAAAACACAATTTAAAATTTTACCATGAATTTTACCATTCCGCTTTATATTGTGCAATTCTTGTTTAAGTGCAAATATCAGAGCATTTAACTGATAAGCTGAATAGCTGCATTACACAATTTAATTCGTATTTTGTAGCTCGTACATGCACATATATTTCCAGCTTACCAGCACATTGGAAAGGCTGCAAAACATACTCAACTTTTTGTTTTTCACTTCTCCATAGGTGCATATTCTATTTTTTTTCATTTTTCTTCCCAAAGCCCCCCAGTACACAGTTGTATATTCTAGTTGTAGATCCTTCTAGTTCTTCTATGTGGGATGCTGCCTCAGCATGGCTTGATGAGCAGTGATCCTTCAGCGCCCAGGATCAGAACCCGTGAAACCCTGGGCTACCAAAGCAGAGCACGTGAACTTAACCACTGGGCCACCGGGCCAGCCTCCTGCCGCATAGTCCATTAACACTTCCTGCTTTCGGCTTACCGATGCGTAAGGAAGGACGGAAAGGAAAAGCAAAAGTCTTCCTTCTTGTATTCGTTCCTTCTATGTCATCCTTTTGTCATAAGTGGTTGGCTAATACAGGGAAGTGACACAAGAAGAAAGGGATCGTAGGATTCCCTGGTCATCTGTGTTTCTCACAATGCCATTGACTTCTTCCTGCCTTTGAAACAAGTTCTGGATCTAAGGGAAAGCACGGCCTCCTGGGGTCCTCTGTGTCTTCTTCCCCTTACTCAGGCTGAGATGTGGCAAGATTACCACTTACCTCTTACTCCCTTTGAGTCTCACTGATTTCCCACATGTCGTAAGTCCACGGGAATTCTGTGCTCACGGGGCATCACAAATGCGATATGTGAACCGGGACACACACATTGCGTATATCTCCTCTTCTCACACACATTTTCCATTGTCCCCTCGGGGATCACTTACAAAACACAAGTTCAAACATAAAATTGCTAATAATTTCAAGTAGCAAAGCATTAAACCAAGCACAGGGGCCCTCTGAGGACAGGGTTCTGTGTGACTGCACAGGTCACACGTCCACGAAGCTGGTCCTGCTCCTCACTAACAAGGATCAGAGTAATTAGCTTGGCCAATCAGATGCTCTCTGTTGAGAATTTAAACAGAGATGTAATGATGAGAGAAGCATCAGTCACTAAGTACAGGGAGAAGCTGCAGAGGAAGAAAATATCTGAGCCACAAAGGAAGCACTATTCATAAACTTGGGTCCTGAGGTGTCTAGAATTTTCCTTGGATTCTGATGACCTCCCATTTCCAGCTTTGTGTGGTCCGTGCTCTACCACTGTTTCTGCATTTCACATTAGGTCTGGGTATGCAGCAGAAATTTGTTATTATCACACTTATCCTTGTAATGCATTGCTCATTACTCAGCTAATTTGAATAATCCCATGTTGATTGCAGCTAGGAGCCTGAGAAACAATGAAGGTAAATGGTTGCTGTTGGTGCTATGATGTTTTAACAAAAGGAGGAAAGACAGCTGGAGTTTAGATAAGTGAACCCCAAGAATGAGTATGTTAATGTCCCCTGCACATCAGGTGGGCCAGTGCCTATTCAAATAGCAAACTCCCTTCTCAGGCAAATAAAGATGAAATAGTCACAGCAGTTCTTAGATTACGAAACTGACTTAAATATAGCATGTTCTTCCTGAGTTATTCATAATAGCAAAAATTACAATCTAAATGTCCAACCAAATAGATTATATCACTTGGGTGGTATTTTTTCCAGGCAGTAAAAAGTATGTTTTTAAAAGGACGTTTAGCAGTGTGCATGTCAAGAGGATCATAATACAATTGGAAAAGCTGAATAAATATGTATACTTAGCTTAACATTGCCAATTATGTTCTGAAAGTATAAATATTTATTTTCTTATTTACATGAATAGAACAAAGATCATAAAGTTACAAGCTATTTATCTCTGGACTATAGGATTGAGTTTTTTTCTACTTTCCATTACATAATTTTTAATTTTTTAATGTATTTTAAGCTTTGATTTAAAAAAATTATTTCTCCAAAAGAAAAAATAAACAAGTGGGGCTTCATCAGACTAAAGAGATTCTGGAAGGCAAAGGAAACCAGGATCAAAACAAAAAGACAATACACCAACTGGGAGAAAATATTTGCAAATCAAATATCTGACAGGCGGTTGATCTCCATAATATATGAAGAACTTACACAACTGAGTAACAAAAAACCAAACAACCCAATCAAAAAACGGGCAGAGGATATGACAGACATTTCTCCAAAGAAGATATACAGATGGCCAACAGGCATGTGAAAAGGTGTGCGACATCTCTAATCATCAGGAAAATGCAAATCAAAACTACACTAAGATGTCACCTTCTGCCCATTAGAATGGCTGTAATCGCTAAGACAAAAAATAACAAGTGTTGGAGAGCTGGTGGAGGAAAGGAACCCTCATACACTGCCGGTGGGAATGCAAACTGGTGCAGCCACTGTGCAAAACAGTATGGAGATTCCTAAAAAATTAAAATAGAAATACTATATGACCCAGCTATCCCACTAATGGATATTTGCCCAAAGAACTTGAAATCAACAATTCAAAGAGAGATATATGCACCCCTATGTTCATTGCAGCATTATTCACAATAGCCAAGACATGGAAGCAACCCAAGCGCCCGACAGATGCATGATTGGATAAAGAAGATGTGGAATATACATACAATGGAGTACTACTCAGCCATAAAAAAAGACAAAATTTTCCCATTGCAACAACATGGCTGGACCTTGAGGGTATTATGTTAAGTGAAATAAGCCAGACAGAGAAAGACAAACACTGTATGATTTCACTCA